AGAGGATGGAGGGGGAGGGGAATGGATATATACACGAATATGAATTGACATATCTAATCTAATTTTGGCAACTTTTATAACGTCATTCTCGATATTTTACTACTATTAATTACTATTTCCAACAAAATATTTATTAATCATAAATATTAAAAATTTCTACTTTCATCCACGGGTTCTCCTTTATATCGTTTACGATTCATTTTATTTTATTTTTTTCCTTAAGGCTAAACACAACTTTTAGGTATTAAAGGCTAATATAGAATGAATTATAAACAATTGAGACGGAAAAAAAAATAGAGATTCAAATCATGAGACCGTAAATATTAATGAATTACAAACCATTAGGATAAAAATCATAATTCCAAAATCATAGAGGTTAAAATAGAAAACTTCAATAAACTGCATGCACTTTCTCTCTAAATATTAGGAAAAAGTCTAAAAAAAACTCAATTCTTTAATAGATAAATTTCTTGAATTTTTTGAAACAGAACTAATCTATATCTATATATATATTAAAGAAGAAACCACATGCAATGATGTGACCTCTTCTCAAAACAAGAAAATGATTTATCTTTTTTCTCTTTTTCTCAAGCTTCTTCTACTTTAATATTTGTTTTTTATGTTTCATGTTTACATTTAAGATCCTTTAATTAGGTTGTTTCAACTTATTCATGTTCCTTCTAATAAGTACTCTTTTAACTCTCATTATTTCTCTCTATTCGGTTATAATTTTTCATCTTCTCTTCATGGTACACCTGTATAATAATCTCTTAATTCTTCATCTCTGTTCATGTAAAATTTTGTGGTACATCTCTATGATAACTTCTCTATTAATCTCTCAATTCTTCCTCTCTATTCATGTATAATTTTGTGGTACACCTCTATGATAATCTCTCTATGATCTCTCAATTCTTCCTCTCTATTCAGTTATAAATTTGTGGAWGTGATTTGCATTTTYGTTGATTTGAGGTGTTATTCAATAAGACAAATCATAGTATGAGTTTTTGCTTATGTAAGTATAATATTTCTTTTCTTTAGTCGAAGATATTCACATTAAAGTTGGAATTATGTAGGCATATGAAGTTTTTGTGTGTGGATACAGTGACATATGAATCCTTGAAGAAATAGTGTAACATTGAATAGAAAAAAAAACCTCTCAATTCTTAATCTCTATTCAGTTTTTGAGGTGATTTGCATTTTTGTTTATTTGAGGCGTCATTCAATAAGAAAAATATGATATGAGTTTTTGTTAATGTAAGTATAATATTTTCGTCTTTTAATTGGAGATATTCACACTAAAATTAGATCGGAGATATTCACATTAAAATTGGAATTATGTAGACATATGGAGTTTTTGTGTGTGTGGATAAAGTGACATATGAATCCTTGAAGAAAGAGTGTAACATTGTTTAAGGAAAAAAACTGTCAATTATTCCTCTCTATTCAGTTTTTTAGGTGATTTGCACTTTTGTTTATTTGAGGTGTCATTCAATAAGAGAAATATGATATGAGTTTTGTTAATGTAAGTATAGTATTTTCGTCTTTTAATTGGAGATATTCACACTAAAATTAAAATTATACAAACATATGAATCTCTCTATTAATCTCTCAATTTTTTCTCTCTATTCAATTATAATTTTATGGGGATGATTTGCATTTTTGTTGATTTGAGGTGTCATTCAATAAGACTAATCATAGTATGAGTTTTTGTTTATGTAAGTATAGTATTTCGTCTTTTAGTCGGAGAATTCACACTAAAGTTGGAATTATGTAGGCATATGATTTTTTGTGTGTGGATAAAGTGGCATATGAATCTTTGATGAAATAAAGTAACATTGTTTAGCATAATAATCTCTTTTAATCTCTCAATTCTTCTTCTTTATTCAGTTTTTGTGGATGTGTTTTGTTTTTTTGTTGATTTGAGACGTCATTCATGAAAACAAATATGATATGAGTTTTTGTTTTTGTTGTTGATCGTTCTATTATGATTTTTTTTTTCTTTTTTTAGCATTGAGCTTGGAAATTATTTTTTAATATTTTAAATTCTTAAAGAAGAAACCAAACATAATGAGGTGTTATCATCTAAGCATTATAAACCCATTTTTTCATACATTTTTGATTTTTTAAAATATTTGATCTATGTAAAAGACTTTTCCATCCCTATATTTAAAATATGAAATTCAATATAATACATATATTTTATTTTACATAATTGTATTAAAGCCTCTATTTTCA